ACCACAATCCCTTCCCCTCCCCATTCTTTTCTCGGGATCTTGAGCATACACACAGACATGCCTGGCATGAAGTTTAAGCCACCAGGTCTGGGACTTAAACTGCAGTCAACTATGTGGGAGTCCAGTAACATAACCATTACCCTGTCTGCTGGTCCCACCAAGAATAATATTTCAATGTTCTTTTTTTGTCCACTTTCAGAAGGCAGCTATCTCAATTTGCTATTGCATTGTTAATAGAAATACCTGAGACTGGGTGTTTATAAAGAAAAAGATGTGTACTGACTTATAATTCTGGAAGCTGGAAAAAACAAAGGTGTAGGCCTGGCATCAGGCTGTCTTACAATGAAACTGACAGGAGCGCAGCAGATGGTGGGCACGTGCAGAGTAGAGCAAGCTGCAGGCAGTTCTCTTTAATAACAACGAGCTCTCAAAACAACAAACCCTTTCTCATGAGATAGAACTCACTGGATGTCAAGAGATACCAATAATCTATTCATGAAAGTATCGTCACCATGAATCAGTCACCACCCACTAGGTACTAGCACCAACTTCCAAAACATGAAACTTTGGAGACCAACCATTATCCAAACCATAGCAGCATCCAAAGAAAACTATAGGATAAGACAGGCTTCAAATCTTTCCATATCTAAGCCAGGAAAGTGGCAGTACAGAGCCAAGAAGGAGGACAAAAACAAAAACAAAAACCTAAGAAGGTATCCCCAGTGCTTAGAATGGCACTGGCACATAGTACTTCAGTATATGTATTCTGAATAAATGGTGAATGTATTTGGAGGCAAACAGACCTAGTTTCATACCCTGGCACTGATAATTGCTCGCTTAAGTAACAGTGAGTAAATTGTGTCAGGGTTATGATTTACAAAGATATATGTAAATATAAAATGCATATAATAGAATAGAATTTTCTTTTTAAGAATTATTTTATTTTCTCTTTATTTATTTATTTTATTTTAATCTGATCATAGAGGAACAGCAGGAGAGAGAGGGAAAGTGAGAAAGCAAGTCATCAGGTCCAGGACTTGAACCCTGGTTGGCCATGTGGGAGTTCAGAGCCCTTAACCACCACACCACCTGCCAGCCCCAAAAGAATAGAATTTTCTTAAAGGTAAAATGTGATAGCCCAGTACTTACCAATGTACCACATATATCATAAGAGCTCAAAATGGTAATAATAATAATGTTATTATTTCATAGTATTATAGGCTATTTTGTACCCTTACCCTCAATTTATATGTTGAAATTCTAATGCTGGGATTGGAACCTCAGAATTTGACTGTATTTGGCTATAAGGCCTTTAAAGATGGGATTCAGTTAAAATGAGATCATTAAGGTAGGTTCTAAACCAGTATGACCAATGCCCTGGTAAGAAGAACACAGAGGGAAGACCATATGAAGACAAATGGAGAAGACAGCCATCGGGTAAGTCAAAAAGAGGCCTCAGAAGAAACCAGCCTTGCTGACAACTTGACCTCGAATTTCTGGCCTCCAGAACTAATAAAAAATACATTTCGGTCTTTTAAGCCCAATACAGTTGTCCTACTCTGGCAGTTGCCCACCTGCATGCCCTTTAGGCATGGGGGTGTATTTCTTTTCTATTAAAAAATCTTCACTTTCAGAAACCAGCAGGTGGCATGGTGGTTAAGTTGCTGGACGCCCACATGGCTGACAGTGGTTTGTGTCCTGGACTTGGCAACTTGTTCTCTCACTTTCCCTTTCTTTCTCTCTCTCTCTCTTCTCCCCCCCCCCATCTCCCTCTGGTCAAATTAAAAATAATAATGATAATAATAAAATTAGATAAATAATTCTTTAAGGAAAAAAAATGCCCTCTTGAATTTCCTCTCCAGACTCCTGTTCCCTCACATTTGCAGTCCTCATCTCTCTAAGTGGTACTTCCTTTTCCCATCTGCTTCTTCCTAAAACCCTTGACTCTCAAATCCCTCATTTCCAGTTCATCAGCAAATCTTGTTGATTGCTTCCAAATGTATTCAGGGACCAGTGATGCATTATCTCCATGGTTATACTCTGGTCCAAGGCACCACCAAACTCCACTTAGATCACTGAAACACATGCGTGAATGCCTCTATGCTCTATTCTTCTTCATTTAACATGCAATTATTTTTAAGTCAGAACATAGCACTAGAGATGTTAAAACCTTTCATGACTTCCCATCTTACTCAGAGAAAAGGCAAAGTCCTTACAAAGAACTCCTAAGTACCTGTGTGAGCTGAACCTTTCCTTTGACCTCCACCCTGACCTCATCTCCTCCCTCCCTCTCTCTCTATCTGGCCAAACCACTTCAACCACACTCCATGGTATCCCTGTGATACGCTTCCAGATTTGCAGCCTCTGTGGTTTTCGTGCTTTCCATCC